CCGGACTGGGGCACGAACCCATGTCCCCTGCATCGGCAGACGGACTCTCAACCACTGCGCCACCAGGGAAGCCCTATTGTTTTGATTTTCAAATGTGAATTATCATTAAAAATTATTACAATTTAAAAAATATATTCATTAGCTTTTTAAAAGGTATTTTAGGGACTTCCCTGGTGGCACAGTGGTTAAAAATCCACCTGCCAATGCAGGGGACATGGGTTCCAGCCCTGGTCCGGGAAGATCCCACGTGCCGCAGACCAACTAAGCCTGTGCGCCACAACTACTAAGCCCACGCACCACAACTACTGAAGCCCGTGTGCCTAGAGCCCATGCTCCGCAACAAGAGAAGCCACTGCAATGAGAAGCCCGCGCCCAGCAACAAAGACCTAATGCAGCCAAAAATAAATACATAAATTTATTAAAATAAATAAATAAATAAAAGGTATTTTAAAAGGTTGTACAAATGTAAATTGGTCTAGTGAGCTTGCTGCAATTCAGGATATAAAGAATGGTCCTTGCTCTCAGAAGAAACTTTATATCTGGAAAATAAAACAATATGCATAAAACATTTAAAAAATTGACAATACTGAAATAAGGAGAGGATCTGATAAGTACTGAATGATGGCTCTGACCCTAAGTTCTGTGGCATTCATGGCAGGAGTGATTTCACTGGGCTCGGTCTCAAAGAGGAGGTGATATTGGCAGAGCTTTGAAGGACAAACAGGAAGTGGGTAGAGAGGAGGACACAGGTCTCCAGACACAAACTCAAGTGTAACCTTGTATTTGGGAGACAATAAGTAGCCCTCTGATATTTCTCAAAGCACTTAGGGGTTGGGTTAAAAGTGAAGCAGATTTTTATTTATTTATGTATTTTGGCTGCACCGTGAGGCATGTGGAACTTCTGCCTGCACCACCTGCAGTGGAAGTGTGGAGTCTTAACCACTGGACCACCAGGGAAGTCCTGCAGCAGGTTTTTTTTTTTTTTTTTTTTTTGTGATACGCGGGCCTCTCACCGTTGTGGCCTCTCCCGTTGCGGAGCACAGGCTCTGGACGCGCAGGCCCAGCAGCCATGGCCCACGGGCCCAGCCGCTCTGCGGCACGTGGGATCTTCCCGGACCGGGGCATGAACCCGTGTCCCCTGCATCAGCAGGCGGACTCTCAACCACTGCGCCACCAGGGAAGCCCCTGCAGCAGGTTTTTAAAGACAAGAAGTCAGCCATGCAGAGAGTAGAGGGACAAGAGTCCCTAGCAGCAGAGGACCCCCAAGGGCACATGCTCTGAGATCTTGATGGAGTCCAGGAGAGAGAAAGCTGAGGGGTGAAGGGAGCAGCAGGAGCCAGATAACCCGGACCCTTTATTTTAGGTGCAATGGGAAGTCAATGCAGGACTTTAAGTGTATGTATGGGAGTGAGGGGAATCTGACTCACTTTTTAAAAAGATTACTCTGGTTGTTGTGTGGACAATGAATTGGGGGCGGGTGGGGAGAAAGATTGAGAGATCTTCTCAAGAAGAATTGACTATGTCTTTGTATTGATGAAATAAAATTCACATTTTAAGGCAAGACAAGAAAAGTTTAAACATAAAATTTTTTCCTGCTCCTTTGGACCTCCTGGTTCCCCTCCAGTGTGTGTTGTACATCGCATTATGAGTTAACCAGACCTCCCCAATGACAGAAATGCCTGTTCAACTGACTCAACTGTAAAGATCAATTTTTCTCCTTCTGGTGCCAGCCATGTAACTCCTTAGAAGGTAACCTTCCTTTCTCAATTCTTGAAGGGGTCACGATGACCTACCACTTGCCTTGTACATGCAGACAGCTTTAGGGATCTTTATGTACAATGCCAATATATCATTTCCCTTAAAGATAGCAATTGGTGCAGGACAGACTGTTCAGATGACCTGGGTAGATACTGGGCCACACCTAAAGGAAGTTCTTAGCTGAAATACTACTTATGACCTTATTAATGTTACTAGCTCTATTACTTGTATTCTGCCTATTTTATAAGATTATTGTTTCTTGCATTACCAAATGTGTGACTGAGCCTCAGATGAAATTAATGATGATTAGGTGACTACAAACAATTGACCACTATAAATATATAGTTCTATAAGATCAGTGAGTGTGATAGTGTAACTCTAGATATGTGAAGAAGCAACAAGAGGGAACCATTTCCTGGACCATAACAAACTAGTGAGATAGGCAGTTCAGAGGCTTTTGGTTACTGTTAACAGGGCCTAGTCCAGTAATAGCACGTTGGATGGACTGTCAATGAAATCCTTGCCTGACCTGAGAATCCTGGGAATCCTTGCCTAGCATTCCTAGTGCCGTGGGACAAATTGGTCATGAAATGCCTCCCAAACCTTGGTCGAAATTACAAGAGATGTGTGCTTGATTACAGGTAACTTTTGCCTGTCGCATGTGTACTGACCTCCTCCCTTATTCTTTGGAACCATCCTCATAACTCTCTGAGAGACTCTCTCCTGGGTTATAATCCTCAGTTTGGCTCAAATAAAATTTTCCATTCTTTAAAAAAATTTATTTATTTATTTGACTGTGCTGGGTCTTAACTGCGGCATGCAGGATCTTCATTGCGGCATGCGGATCTTTAGTTGTGGCATGTGGGATCTTTAGTTGCGGCATGCGGGACATTTAGTTGCAGCATGTGGGCTCTTAGTTGCAGTATGCAGGATCTAGTTCCCCAACCCAGGCCCCCTGCATTGGGAGTGTGGAGTCTTAATCACTGGACCACCAGGGAAGTCCCTCCATTTCTAAGATTGCCTATTGATTAATTTTGTTATTGTTGTTGATAGTACTTACCTTTCTCCCTCATCCCTCATGGCTGCATTTTCCACCCTGTGTGACTGGGGAGAAGGGTGATAGTAACACCTGGGAAATCAGGGCTTCATTTGGTGAGAAAGGTGATGGCAGCAGAGCCCATTTCCAACTACCAATGTTTCATTGGTAGTTGGAAATTTGACTCAGGAGCTGGGGAGAGAGGACAGAATTTTGAAGGTCTAGATTTGGGATTCTACTGTGGAGAGGAAATAGTTGAAGCTGTGAGATTGTATGAGGCATCAGAGAGAGGGAACTGAGAGAAGAGAGCAGAGGGCCAAAGACAGATTCTCAGCAAAGCGACACCAACAAAGGAAGCAAGGGGATGAAGAGAGTAAGGTTGCTGTACCAGGGCAGTGTGGAATACCAGGACAATTTAAGTTGAGGGGTGGAATGCCAGTTGAATGATGAGTGTAGTAGCTGTGTGGCACGGGAGGAATCATGATGGGGTGTAGTACTCAGGAAGGCTCCTGGCAGAAATAGGACTTGAAAGATGGATAGACTAGGTGGATGGAGATGAAGGCAGGGGACTTCCAGAGTAAGCAGTACAAGAACCAAGGTGCAACAGGCAATTCTGACCCCTGAGTGTATGTGCAAGGTCGGGGGGAGTTGAAGTTTGTGAGTGAAGGGTTCTAGCCAGGAAGTCTGGGGTGGTAAATGCATGTAGAAAGAGTTGAATCAGTTAGTTGATCAACATAAGTATTTTTTGAGCACTTCTGTGTACCAGGCACCAGATTAGGTGCTGGGAATATAGCCATGAAACTACTTACCAAGGCCCTGCCCTCTAGAGCATACCTTTTTAGCAAATCAGACAGGTCTTCACAAGTAAGCAGAGGAGCTTAGACTTTATCCTATGGGCCACTGCTCTCATGTGGCCCTATAATGGGAGCTGGATGGAGAGACATCCCCAGCCTGTGGGGGACATAGAAGGGAGTGTATGCAGAGGAAATGCAGACTGTTGGAGGGCTGGGTCTTCCACAACTTCATGAGCATGTGAGCCTGAACTGTATACACGCAGACCAGGAAGAGTGCATTAGAAAACAGAGAAGTGGTCAGAATTTCTGAGGACGTTGTTCATTTGGAGAGATTGATCACTGATTTATTAACCTTTGCAAGGGGAATTCATTTCATAAGGCTTTGTTTGGCTTAAGCTGCAGGAATGAAACTCTGATGATGGAATTACTGGCTTGAGTCATTAGGAAGAAGAGGTATTTAGTGGAGAGAGGTCAGTCAGAGCCATCCCTGGCTGTGAAATCCCACCTTTCAGGAGCTGTCTACCTACACAGAGGCCAGCTCTTACGTTCCATGGGTTGTGAGGGATATTGCTTCACTCTCTGGAAATCATTTGGACCATTCAGGTGTTCTTAGATTTCTAGAGATGAAATCATTCCTTCTTAGTTCCTAAATGACTATCACCCTGCTTGCCCTGCAAACTCCACTTTCCCAGAGAAAACAAGAGAGAGGGGATGAAGAGAAATGGGCAATAGGCAGGAGGATACAGTCTTAAAAATTCTGTATGAAACTCTAAAGGGAAGTCAAAGGAAACAGACAAAGGGTCTTCCCGAGCTTGGGACCAGCAGGGAATGATGCAGCATCCTGAAAATATTTTTAAAAGCAGTGGATAGCCAGAACTAAGAGTCAGAGTGACCAATTCATTCTGTTTCTCCCTCAAGTTGCCCTATTTTAACACTGGAAGTCCCACATTTTTGGGAAATTTGGGACAGTTGATCATCCCATCAGGACACCTGGGCTCTAGCTTTGTATCTGCCATTAATTTCATACCCCTCTGAGCCTCAGTTTCCTCCTGAAATGGTAAAGTAAGGTACCTTAACAAGACGATATCAAAGAGCCCCTCCAAACCTGATGGAGCAATCTGGAAATTTGCCGAGGCTGCCCTGACATCCAGACTTTCTCTTGGAACTTGCCCTGAGCTTGGGCAGAACAAATCTCACCACAGAGAGTGCATCTGAAGGCTCAGGGACCAGCAAGTTCCTATACAGACTCTTCTTTCTTACAGATCCTTCTGTCAGTGACATAAGTGAGTATCAGCGTACAATGTACATCCCTGACTAGTTCAACTTAAGATTTTTCGATTTTACGATGGTGTGAAAGTGATACGCATTCAGTAGAAACTGTACCTTGAATTTTGAGTTTTGGTCTCTTCCAGTGCTAGTGATAACGCGTCTCATGATGCTGAGCAGTGGCAGTGAGCCACAGCCCCAAGTCAGCCATGTGATCACAAGGGTAAACAACTTACAACCATTCTATACCCATACAAACATTCTGTTCACTTTCAGTACGGTAGTCAATACATTACATGAGATATTCAACACTTTATGATATAGGCTTTGTGTTAGATGATTTTGCCCAACTGTAGGCTAATGTTGTGTCCTGAGCATGTTTAGGGTAGGCTAGGCTAAGCTGTGATGTTAGGTAGGCTCGGTGTATTAAGTTCATCTTTGACTTACAATATTTTCAACTTATTGGGATGTAACCCCATTATAAGTTGAGGAACATCTGTATTATAATTATTAGTTGTCACCTACAAAATAAAGTGTAGGTGATTATTCTAGTTGTCAGACTGTTTCAAGGAATATGTAAACCAAAAATAAGAAACTTAGTAAGAAAAATAAATTTTTTAAAGCTCCCAGCTGGCACTATATTCAGTTAAGTTATAGTCTATACAATCATGCTGGAATGAAATGTGGTTATCATTTCTATTTAGAATTTCACTTGGCTACTGAAAGAGTGATTTGTCTTTGAATTTCTATTAACATAAAATAGAAAATGTTTCTTTTGTAAATCTTCTAAGTACATACTGTTCTGAAAGTGGCCTTTTATGTTAGCTTTACAAGGTCATCATGTTTTGGCAAGAATTTCAAAGCCAATAAGTTTGAAAGTAGTTCCATTGGACTTTTCCAGAGTCAGTGGTGGCATAACATAAGAGCCTAGCCCCTGAAGCCAGAATGCCTGGGTTCACATCGCAGATTTGTAACAAGTACAACTTGATGTTTCTACACCTCTGTCTTCAGCTATAAAATGGGAATGATGTTAATAGTACCTACCTCAAAATGCTGTCATGAGGATTAAATGAGTTGATATGTCTACAAGTGCTCAGACCTCTGCTTGGCACAAGGTAAGCACTAAGTAAGTGTCCCATTACAACATAAGATCCTTCAGACCAGGGATTTTCATTTGTTTTGTTCACTTATATATCCCTAGAACTGTGTGTTCTATGTGTGCCTAGAACTGTGCCTGGCTCATAACAAGCATTCAATAAATATTTGTTGAATGAAAGTATATGTCTTGGTAATAGGTATTCAATTTGTGGTTTATTCATGAGGTTTTTAAAGTCCATGGGATTTATCTGTTGTAAACCTTTAATTTATACAAAGGAAAACTGAGGCCCAGAGAGAAGGAATCTTCCCTATGTCACATGAGCTTTGATGGCAATAAAATTAAATACCAAATATTTGTCGTAAGAGAAACACACTAGGCAGAACCTGTTTCCCGACTTCATTTTATCTTTCTTACATGTGCTCCTGTCCCAACATTTATCAGAGCTGCTTATGTAGAGACACTAAGCTTTCATCTGAATGGATGCCATGGTAGCTGAAGGCACAATGTCCATTGCAGCAGGCAGATCGGCTTTCTCCCATGGGAACAAAGTGGCTTGTACTGAAAGAATAAAGGTAACTATGTTCATGCTGTGTTCCTGGCTTCTGCCTGCTCCTCTTTTCTCTTCAACAAGCTTGGGACTCAGTGTGTGTAGCCAAAACTCCCACAGTCACTCCAGAAATGAACACTGCACTGGTTTTGCACTAAGACAAACCTGGTTTCAAATCCCATTTCTGCTACTTCCTACCTATTGTACTACCTGTTACTACCTGTGACCTTGTTCTGCAAATTTTTTCACTTCCGTAGTCTGAGTTTGTGCATCTCTAAAATGGGTATGCCAACATACTCATAGTGGAGGTAAATGTTAGCAAGAATATGGGGCCTACAGATTTGTTCAACATGATGAATGCAAACAAGACTCACAGCAAGGCATGTTGTAGTTGCAAGTTGGGTTCTCTGGGAAGAAACTCTCTGATGAAGGGTAGCAGGCAGGACACTTAGGAGAGTGCTCTTGGGATCAACACATGTGGAAGGAAGGGGAAGGAAAGGGCAGAGGAAGAAGTTGGGCAGTGGTGCAGGCCCAGTGAAGACCTCAGCTGACCTCTCATGGGGAGCTCTAGAGCTGGGATGTGTGTGCAGAATTGTTGCCAGCTGAGGTGAGGAAGCTGGGCCTTCACCCCTCCCCTGACCGTGTTGTCAGTTATTCTATACAGGCTGGTCCTGGAAGTTACCTTCAGCCAAGGCATTCTCCAAAGAGGGCTGACAACCGAGGGTCATGGCAGCATTCCCAGAAGTTGGGGGAGTAACTGCATTCCTGAAGGGGCATCTGGTTGGTGCTGCACAGCATCCATCACTCCCAAACTCCAGAACCAGGCATAAAGAAAAGATCTTGAAAGCTTCCTGATGGGAAACACAGGGCATCCACAAAGGGACAGGAATAAGAATGATATCAGAAGTCTCAAAAGCCCCATTAGAAAAGGCAGTGGAGAAGTGCCTTCAAACATTTCATAGAAATCAATTTCTAAACTAGAATTCAATTCTGAGCCAACCTGTCTATCAAATTTGAGGATACAACAAAGACATTTCAGACATGCAGTTTTGATTTTGACTTCCCATGCACTGTTCCTTAAGAAAGAGGAATTGAATAAGTGATTCAGGAAGTAGAGGATCGTCCAAGAAGACGTGCAGGGCAGTCTAAGTAGAAATGCTGAGCCGCAGCCTAGAGAAAACAGGGGAGCCTGGAGTGGGAGGCAGGGCCCTGGAGGGAAGCTGTTAATGGTCAAAAACACATTTTATTTATGGCTCTGTCAACAGTTGGTAAATTTGTAAAGAAAAATGAAGAAATGATGATTATAAAAGTCAAGATATAGTTCACCTCTAAAAAGGAAAGTGAGGGCTGTGACTAGGGGAGGAGCTTCCGAGGTGGCAATGTTTCATTTTTTGATCTGGGTGATGGTTACATGGGTATTTGCTTTATAATTATTGGTATAACTACAGACACATATACATATATACTTTATATATATGCTTTATGCCATTTTCTTTTTTTAAAATAAATTAATTTGTTTTATTTATATATTTTTGGCTGCATTGGGTCTTTGTTGCTACGCGCAGGCTTTCTCCAGTTGCGGTGAACGGGGGCTACTCTTCGCTGCAGTGCGCGGGCTTCTTATTGCGGTGGCTTCTCTTGTTGCAGAGCACGGGCTTTAGGTGCGCGGGCTTCAGTAGTTGTGGCTCGCGGGCTCCAGAACGCAGGCTCAGTAGTTGTGGCGCATGGCCTTAGTTGCTCTGTGGCATGTGGGATCTTCCTGGACCAGGGCTTGAACCTGTGTCCCCTGCATTGGCAGGTGGATTCTTAACCACTGCACCACTGGGGAAGCCCTATGCCATTTTCTATGTATATATTATATTATATTTTATTATTATTATTATTATTTTTGCGGTGCGTGGGCCTCTCACTGTTGTGGCCTCTCCCGTTGCGGAGCACAGGCTCCAGATGCTGAGGCTCAGCGGTCATGGCTCACGGGCCCAGCTGCTCCGCGGCATGTGGGATCTTCCCAGACCAGGGCACAAACCCGTGTCCCCTGCATCGGCAGGCGGACTCTCAACCACTGCGCCACCAGGGAAGCCCTATATGTTATATTTTAAAACAACTTATTTTAAAGTATTATAAGAAAAGAAATAATAAGTGTAAAGCTCTCAACACAGTGACTGGCCTGGAGCACATAGTACAAGTCCAGTGAGTGTTAGTTGAATATCATCATCATCATCATCATTCTGACCCTGCCATCCACTCCTGAGCAAGTACTTTCAGTTTTTGGTTTCTAGAGAAGAAGGGTGTGAGACATATTCCAGAAGAGCATGCAAAAGGGGGGAGGATTAATATTTGGCCTGGAAATAGTTTTATGTTTGCAGTGACAAAAAAATTGAATCCAGAGCTTCCTGTTCTGAAAACATACCACTAGCAGAGAGAAAATTAAGATATTTTCTATTTTCCCTGCTTCTTCTATAGCTGTCAAGTGGGCAGTAGGTTGGGAAGAGTTACCTTCTGCTTTCCCAACAGCAGCCTCTGATCTTTGAAGGGCACATCCTTTGCCTCTGACCAAACGTGAACCCCAACATGGAAACCTCTTATGGGGCAGATATGTCTTGGGGACACTTTTCCCCTCCTCTTACACTCATCTATTAGGGAATTAGCCTGATGCAATGGAAAGAACTCTAGACCAGGAGTCTTGGGGCCTGGGCTCCAGCTCTGCCTTTAAGCAGTGTGTGTCTTGGTCATCTGTAAAACCAGAGTTCTGGGACTAGGTCATCCCTGAGATCCTTCCAGCTCTGAAAGTCTGTAATTCTAATATCCTGCAAAGCTAGTGAGAGAGGAGAAAGGCAGCATGGCTAACAGGAAGAGCATGTGTGTTTTGAGTCAGGCAGACCTAGATCCCAGTGCTACCACCTACTAGTTATGTGAACTTTGTAAATTAATTAACTGTCCTCAGCCTCAACTCCCACATCTAAAAATTGGAGTAGTACCTGCAATGCAGAAATGTGAAGATAAAATGAAACGGCGTATGTCCATGGTTCCCAAACTGTGTGTTGAGGCACCCTAAGGCTCTGCAGTGAACTCACATGGTTACCACAGTTGGATATTTCAAAAATTTGAGGGAAACACAGTGATGTACATTGGGTACCAGAGGTAGTTAAGAGTTTCAAAATTAGATTGTGCTACCTTCTGTCATGCCTTATGTTTGTATCTTCACAAAGCTGGGTTTTCAGTGTGATAAAAAGCAAGTACCATGTAAAAATCAACATGGGACACTAAGTAACGGTGGTGGTGTCCAATGTGATTAAGAAGTTGAGCAGTGGGGGCTTCCCTGGTGGCGCAGTGGTTGGGAGTCTGCCTGCCAATGCGGGGGACGTGGGTTCGTGCCCCGGTGCGGGAGGATCCCACGTGCTGCCGAGCGGCTTGGCCCGTGAGCCATGGCTGCTGGGCCTGCGCGTCCGGAGCCTGTGCTCCGCGGCAGGAGAGGCCGCAGCGGTGAGAGGCCCGCGTAACCGCAAAAAAAAAAAAAAAAAAAAAAGAAGTTGAGCAGTGTGAAATAGGTGCACACATCTCGTTAATAAGTAATTGTGATTATTTAAGAATAAAATAGAAATAATAGTTTACTTTCAATTTACATGTATCATTTTTTTTCAAACAACTACTAAATCCTTAGTATATAAATGCTTCTTGTTTCGATCAAATTATTTAATAAATGGAGCTGTTAGGTATTTCTTTTGGCCTAAGGGAATGGTGGAAAACTTGCTGAGACACAGTGGGCTCTGAGAAAAGAGAAAGTTTGGGAACCTCTGACATATGGAAAGGTATTTGGCACACAGTAGGTGCTCAGTAGATGGTAAAAACTATTAAGGAGCCTTGTATAAGGTAACACTGAGCTATCTTTTATAGTTTATTTCTGGTAGTGGTGGGAGCCAAACTTGAATCAAGAGGAGTCTGACACATCTTTATAATAACAGCACATAGGAGGCACTGAATAAGGGTCAGCTGAATGAGTGAAGGTGTCAAAGATAAAAGGTTTTACAAGGCACCTGGGACATGACTACCAAAGTGAATAATCATTTTTTCAGTGTTCTTTTGGGTCCTCCTCATGGCCTATACCCTGCATAATTTATCCCCAAGGATATCCCCAAGTCAGAATCCATTCTCTCCAGAGAATTTTGGTCTTTAAACATGGTTAAATTGCTGCTGTAGAATTCCAGTTTGAAGACTTTGCCACAGATTCCAACACGTTTGGAACCTGATGATTGCAGTCTGGGCTGGGCTCAAAGTAGGCCTGGCTACAAAGCAGAAGGAATCTTGAATGTGAATTACATT